AGCTCTGTATCCAGAGTAGGTGTCTAACCAAGTAAGAACCAAACTAGTTCCCATAGGATAACTAGGCATTCAGGAAGGCAAACGTTGATGAAAGACCTACATTAGGACCTGTTGTCGCTAACTGAAAGAAATCCAAGAAGGATTTTTGCTTTTACCAAAAAGGGGAAGAGCAAAAATAGCATTAAGCATCTGGGTTGAGGCAGCAGCACCCCAGGAGCAAGAGCGGCCCTGCTGAGCTCCTTCCCAAGAACCACCCTCAGCACCTCAGCATCCAGCTCTGATCTGTGTCTGGGAGCGTCTGGGCTTTATATCCACTGATTTTGTGCACCCCTTAGGAAGCTGTGTCCTAGGACATGAGAAAAGCCTCAGAAATCTCATAAGGGTGTTACTCTTCAGTGCAGAGCTGGACAAAATCCAACATTTCTATCATAATGAACAAAGTAAAGCCATCATGCCTGCATTAAATTTTGGGTCTGGGAATGCTCAAAAATTTTTCCATAGAAATTAAAGGTAATCACTTCTTCACTTTACACCATGCCAACTTATGAAAGATTTCATAGGAACCTCTGCTTTTGGATAGAGGGGGAAACCTGTACTTATTGAAATAATGAGTGAATTATAGATGACCACTTACCTCAGAATTATGAGGAGCCTGGCTGGTGTCTTACCTGGAGGATTTTCCTGTTCTTCCAGAAAAGGTTATAGGGGGCCATTCTACTGTGCATGTCCCCAGAATTATAGACTGGAGAGGTGAATGAAGAAGTGTTTTTTGGATCCAGCCAAAGAGAAGGATCAAGGCTCAGCTTTCCCCACAGCATTCCCTGCATTCTTGCCCACACACTGGGAGGAAATGATTCACATATGGATCACATATAATAAGACACATTGACTTAGTACTGCTGGCTCGCCTCCCCTAATTCCAGCCTCTCACAGTGTGTACCGTGGGGCAGGTGAGTGAGTTCAGCACAACATCCAACTGCACAGGGATTTCTCTTCTCACTTGCCACAGTTCAGGGGAAGAGGCTGGGAAACAAAGGCTCTGGTGATTAGACTCCAGCCCAGCAGGAGTTCTTCCAAGCTAAAATTCAAGGGCCTATTGTGTTGAATACTTCATTTTTTAAAAAAAGATTTTTATTTATTTAATTTTTTAGAGGGGAAGAGAGGGAAACGTCAGTGTGGTTGCCTCTCGAACGCCCCCTACTGGGGACCTGGTCCGCATCCCAGGCATGTGCCCTGCCTGGCAATCAAACTGGCAACCCTTTGGTTCACAGTCCAGCACTCAATCCACTGAGCCACACGAGCCACGGCTTGCACGCTCCATTTTCATCATGGCAAAGCTACACCTTTCATGGGGGGCTGTCGGGTGTAAAATGCTCTGTTGCTTCAGGTCTTGGAGTTGCAGAGAAGACAGATTCCATTACATACTTTAAATGAATTTATAACCAGTAAAAGTCTAACACTGTAAATAGTAACATCTTTTCCCTTGGCAAGCACTTCAAACAGCAAACTCAACAGTGGCAGTGAATGCATCATTTAAAAGATACCTTTGTAATCCATTCAATTATTACACTTGACTATTCAGCCTGTTAATCCAAACTTAAACATCATCTCAAAGCTGGCTGATCATTATCAGGTCTACTAAAATGTTCCATTGAAACAATACAAAGTCTAGGAAAAAAATCCAAAGTTTCAAGCCAGGGACACACTGACTTTTTTTTAAAGAGGGATTTTAAATCTTACACCCCTGCCTCCTCCCCAGCAGCTTCATTCTCCCCTCTGAGAGTTTCTTCAGCCACAATAAGGTTTCTGCCAGCTTTACACATCCTAGGTGTTCCCATATCTAAGGCTCCAGTGTACATGATCTGCCTATTTTTAGCCCAAAGGTCACTTAGGGATGAGACAAGAATTTTAAGCAAGGTTCAAATTTGCAATAACACCCATGGCCCAAGTACAGCAGGTCCTCAAATAATGTTGTTTCGTTCAAAGTCATTTTGTTATAACATTGAAGAGATGCCTTAGAAACTTAACTCTGTGGTAAAATTGGTTTCATTATAGTTTTGCTTAGTCACAGAACCTATTGATGATACTGAGGCTGTCAAAACTGGCTTTTTAAAATGTCTTAGGAAAAAATATGTCTCAGAGGTACAGGAACATACCGAACTCACAAATGAGAAAAGTGAGATCTAGGAAAATTTAGTCTTCTTCCGATTATCCTACTTATCTTTCAAGTCAGTTCAGCCACCCACCCAGAAGCCTTCCCTGCCCAAGCTGTGCTGTCATCAGCGCCAAACAGCTGTTGAATGTCCGTTGTGTGCCAGCCCCTGCTGTAGGCCCTGAGGACTCACCAGTATTCAACTGAGACAAAAAATTCCTGCCTCAAGGAGCTTATGTGGTAGTGGGAGATGGGCAACACACAGTAAATGTGATGAGTCAGTAAGTCATGCAGCACGTGGAAGGCACCAAGTGCTATGGGAGAGGTTAATAGAGCAGGAAAAGAGAGCTCAGGATGCCAGAGAGCAGGGTTGGCTGGCTCTGTGATTTTGCAGTAATAAGGCAGGCCTCCTGGAGAAAGGTGGCAATTGATAAAAAAATTAGGGAGGTGAGGAAGTTAGTCATGCAGGTACATGAGAGAAGAGTACGCCAGGCAGCAGGACTACACATGCAGATGTTCTTAGGTAGCACCATGCCTGACGAGCTCAAGAAACAGTGAGCAGAAAGCAAATAGTGAGCAGAGCAGGGAGCAGTGTGGGGTAGGGGAAACTGATCATGCAGAGCCCTGTGGACCATTGAAGGGGCTTTGGGCATTGCAGGGATCGAGGGGAGGCACTGCATGATCCAACTTCTGATTTCAAAGGCTTACTCTGGCTGCTGTGTTCAGAAGAGTGTGGTGGACTGAGAGAGAGCACAGACACCTGGCGGGGCCTGTTGCAGTAACTCTGCTAACAGCTGACGGCAGCTTGGACCCAGCAATAATAGTAAGGTAGGAATTTGGGAGAGAAGGTTTAATTCTGGATGTATTTTGAAAAGAGAACCAATCGGACTGACAGATAGATTGAATGGAGTAAGAGAAAGAGAAGGTTTCTGCATTTTTTTTTCTTTTTAAAGTCTAAGCTACATGCTTAACTATGTTCCAATTCATCAGAGTGTGTCATAATTATTTTTTCAGCTCTCTTTCACTCTGCACTCTGCTGTCTGAGGGCAGAGGTACATTCTCACTGCCTGCTGCAGTTTTCAATAAGCATTTGCCGAATAAATGATCATTAGCATGGCAGATGTGAATTCACATTGGACCCAATACTTTCTTTATCATCTCCCTACTAAGTTAGGTTTTTGCCTCAAGTAGGCAAATAGATGTCCATAGAGAGGCTGGTCAGATCCCCAATCTCAGAGTTAAGACTCCACATGTGGTCTCCCTTTCATGGCTGAATTACTTTTCTTTCTATTTATTCACATTTATTGGGGTAACATTGATTAATAATTTCAACATAAGAAACATCAAAAAAAAAAAAAAAAAGGAAGAAAGAAAGAAATGTCCTAATCTGCAGAGAATTTTTACAAGTTCATTTGAGCCAAACTGATGACAATTGCCAGGAAGCAGATTCTCAACAGATTGAGAAAGTGCTCCAGAGTATGGCAGTTTTGCAGCTTATTTTATACATTAGAATCAAGGAAGGAGATGTGTGTGTGTGGCAGGGGGAGTTACATGAAATTCATTGGTGGTTGATTAGGGAGCTAGATAAGCAAAGTGGGGGAAAATATTTGAGACTGGATAAAAAGTAAAATGGAAAGCCCTGGCTGAGTGGCTCAGTTGGTGGAACATTGTCCTGTACACCCAAGTGTTGTGGGCTTGATCCCAGCTGTATGAGAGGTGACCGATGAATGCTTCTCATTCACATTAATGTTTCTCTCTATTTCATGCTCTCGCCTTTCTTCTGTCTCTAAAATCAATGAAGATATCCTCTGGTGAGGATTAAAAAAAAGAGTAAAATACATCGTTTATATTGGTGGGTACAGTATAGTTAACATTTTCAGCACATAGAGATGGTATGTGGGAACAAGATAACAACTCAGGGTTCTGTTGTCTTGTGTTCTGGTGGAAGGTTGTGCCCTGAGGGTTCTGGAAAGTGGGGAGTACTCTGACATTCCAAAGGTAATGTGAAAGACAATAGACAGTCTCACTTAAAGTAAAGATTGACCTTTGTCAAAGAAGCTACAGGCCTAGGACATGTGTTCCTGCCATGACTTGCTTTAGTTAGGGATTTTTAGGTGCTGATCATTCTATGTGGTTACTTAGGTCTCTGGATCTGTAAGACCCACCACGCAGGTCTCCCCTGGGCTTGTCGGGTTTAGTGTATGGCCCCTTTTTTGTCCACTGACCTTACATAAGCTTCAAGTATACAATTCTGTAACATATCATCTCTTTATTGCATGGTGTGCTCACCTCCCTTAGTCCAGTCTGCCTCCGTCACCATATACTTGACTCCCTTTACCTTCCTCATCCTGCCCCCACCGTGGATTAGTTTTCTCTTGCTGTTTAACAGGCTGCCACAACTCCCATGGGTTAGGAGTCCAGGCTCCCTGGTCCTCTATTAGTGTCTCACAAGGCGGCAGCCAAGCTGGATCCTCAGCTGGAGCTTGGGCTGGAGAAGAATCTGCTTCCCACCTTACTCGCGTTGTGGCCAGTTAATTTCCCTGTGGTTGTAGGACAGAGGGCTCCAGCTTTTGGCTGGCTGTTGGCTGGGGGTGCTGCCATTCCTAGAGGCCAAATCAGTGCTTTGCTATTTGGGCTTCCCCAACATGTTTACTTACTTCATCAAGCCCACAGGAGAGCCCGCAGTCTGTTAAGAAGTTCAATGTAACATAAAGTGATCATAGGAGTGACATCCCAGTAAGTCCCAGATCCGGTCCACGCTCAAGGAGGACCGCCTTCTCTGCTTCCACCCAGCAGAAGGCGGGGCTCGGCGCTGGACACGCCTCCTCTCCGCCTCCAGGACTGCGCTGCGCCGCCCGGCTCAGTCACCGCCCGCTGCAGGCCATTCTGCAGGGGGTGGCCGAGATGGCGGACGTGTCTGAGAGGAAGTTGCAGCTGTGCGTGCTGTTGGCGTTCACCTCCGGAGTACTCGTGGGCTGGCAGGCGAACCGGTTGCGGAGGCGCTACCTCGACTGGAGGAAGCGGAGACTGCAGGACAAACTGGCGGTGACGCAGAAGAAGCTGGATCTGGCCTGAGCCGGGACGCTCGCTCTGCCGGCCCACACGCGCCCACGTTGTCTCGCCCGCTGGGGGCCTCCCTCCTGAGCCAGGCTAACCTCACACTCCCCGCCTACCTGGCCAGGTTCCTGCCGGAGTGTCGGTGAGCAGCACTTTGAGAGGCTGTCCCGGGAGGTTCTGGAGTGGGGCGGATGTCAGGGGATAGGTCACAGGAGCTGGCTTGCTCTCACAGACACCAGGAAAAGGAGGAAGTTTTGTTTTTTCCCTAGTGGCTTGCACGAGTGTCTTCGTTCAGTTAATTGCGTGTATTTATTGGGAATTACCACGTGCAATGTCACCGCATTCGACTTAAAATATAATACTGGAAAGAAGGAAAGGAAAAAAGGAGGTCTGACCAAGGTGTCCCTGCCACCCTTTACCCGTCGCCCTCCTCTTCTCATTCTTGTCAGTGATGTCCTTGGTAGCACCGTAGACTTTGCATTGGTGTTTTGTAAACTCCAGTCTGAATCCCTAGGTTACTGGCAGACTGGCAAAGTGGAAAGGGCGATGGCCTGGAAGTCCAGTCTTGCATCTGGTCCTGGCTTTTTTCATCGGAGCTGTGCAAATGTTAAGGGTCTCAGTTTCCTTACCTGTAACACCAGATCTTGCAGTTCATGGTTTAAATCTATAATAGGATGATTTCAAGTTAATGATTATGTAGTTCTCAATTTTTTTTCTCTTTTCTGTTTTCAATAGCTTGTTGAAGATGGATATTGAGCACTGGACAAAAATTACTTCTCCTTGCATTTATGAATCAATGTTATTTTAAAAATAAAATTTTAAACATCTTCGAACTTTTTATTAAAAGGAAAAGGAATATGCTGGCCTTGCAGTTCACTGCATCAGGAGAGCTGGATTTTCAAAAATATGTTAGTGTCTTTGAGCAGATATCTTGTTTCTTAAAGAATCTATGTTAATTCCTTGGTACAGCTGTGAAACAGAGTTGGCTTGGGCACGATCATGAATCCTTTTGGTCAGTTGTTTTACTAGACCTGTGGAGGAATGTAGGACACTGTGTAAATATAACTGAGGTAATGGCGATGTATTTAAGACACTTGCGCTTCCAGGAATGACAACATAATCCAAGTACAGAGTATATGTTTTTATCAGCAAAAGTTTCATTCATGTCTTTATGGAATAGACATATGAAGGAGAAACCCTTTTGAACAGAGCTGAGTGATAAATCCCAACTATATCTAAAAATCAAGAGTGAGTGACCAAGTCCCTGGTTATTTTTGGATCTTCAGGAGGTGTTAGAACACTGCCCTTGCTTGTTCCTGTAAAGATTACCTTTGTGTCTCAGCCAGTGTAAAGGCAGCTCCATGTTAACAAGAAAATTTAGAAAAGCTGTTTCCACTGAAAGCTTTATTTTTTTCATTTTACTGGAGCCATTATGCGTTGTGACTTCCAACCTTCCTCTGTGAATGCCGTACTCAAGGACTCTGTCCCATCTGGGCTGCAGTTCGCCATTGTTCATTGAGACTCCAGGAATTGAGGCACTTTGAGACAAGGTAGATTTCTTGAGGTACAAGGTGCTCTGAGATTGTTGGTTAATGCCCAGGTAAGTGTCTTGGCTATCATCAGTTCTGCCTGTTGGGGTTTATTCATATGCCATGTTCCTGGTGGATCTGATTGTCCAATGTTGCCTTTCCTATTAGTTATGTGAAGCCCGCCGACACACTTGTCTCCCTCTCCTGTCTCACCTCCATGTTCTGTCATCCCTGCCCCTGTGGGCATATGCTGCTCACCCCCCAAATCCTACCTAGGTGCTTATGTGGTTTTTAGCCACCCCATGCCACTCTTAATTGTTCCCTTGTTTTCTGCCTATTGCCGCTTTACACTGTGGCTGTGTGTCTCCAGCTGTGGAATAGGCAATTTCCTTTAACATTGCCTCTGTGGCCATATCTCCTCTAGCACTCTACCTCATGCCCTCTTCTTCTTTAAAAAAAAAATTTTTTTTTAAATTTATATTTAGAGAGAGGGGGAGAAAGAGAAGGAGAGAAATATCAAAGTGTGGTTGCCTCTCACGTGCCTCCTACTAGGGACCAGGTTTGCAACCCAGGCATGTGCCCTGACCAGGATTCGAACCAGTGACCCTTTGGTTTGCAGGCTGGAACTCAGTCCACTGAGCTACACCAGGCAGGGTCTTCATGCTCTTCTTAAATGTGATTGTTTTTTTCCCCTGAAAATGTTGTCTCACATGGAGATGTTTCTTTTCCCATGTTAGCTATAATTGGCAGTGAAGAAGTTGGGAGATGGGTTGGGATGCCAGTCATGTACCCTGGAAATGACGAACTTCAATCATCACAATACATGACCCCTCCCATCTCTGCCCCAACCCCACCATTTTGATGTTGATGCTGTTCTAGGACTCACAAGGAATAAATGCTTGTAACTCTGAATATGGTATGAGAATGTATAAAATCAAAGTCATCTTTCCACCTGAGGCAAACAAGAGTAGTAAACTGTTTTGCATCTTTCTCATTACTCATGTATACAGGTATGTTGGGGGTTTGTATATTTTTCCCAACATAGAGTTGAGTTATACTCATGACCCTGTAACTTTTCCATTTAAAATAAGAAAGTCAGATATAGGCTATCTTTCCCCAACTTATTTCTAGACATTTAAATAAGGATTTAATAAATGATGAATTGTCTTTAGTGCAATTTATTTTTTATCTCTTACAAGATCACTTAGTACTAATTTCTCAGTACAACTCTGGGAAAATTGGCAGTATCAACTCAACTTGAACATAAAACATGTCCTGTGGCCCAACATTGTGCATTTATGTTTCCACTATGTACATATGTAAATAGCGGCACTAGTTATAATAGCCATAAACCTGAAACAACCCACATGACGGGCAACAGCAGGAATAAGTACATCACACAATGAAATAGCAGGATGAATAAACTACAACACGTAGTGTGATACAAGTGTGTCTCATTAACATGTTGAATGAAAAGCCAGACAAGCCGCCAGGACAATTCCATCGCACAGTTCAATAAGGCAAAAGAAGTTTTTGCAGTTAGCAATGTTTACTTTCGACGTGGGAGGGGCGGAGGTGGGTAGGACTAGGACGGAAAGACTATTAGGGTGCTAGTAATGTTTTGTATCCTAATCTGGGTGATATTATGTGGGGGTGTGTTCAGTGTGAAAATTCAGTGAGGCGGTCCGGGTCTGCAGCAGTAGGGAATACCGGTAGACAGACGACCATGGCCGGCAGTTTCTCCGCCAGTCCGCGAGCACGAGACTGTGAGGAGGACGCGCACTGATGGCGTCACCCAGTAACGTCACTGCGTGGTCGCGGAGGCGGTTTCCCTGACGACCGGCGCGCTCCAGCGCAGACTAGGAGATGCTGGCGCGGCGGCCTCGCAATTCCCTGCAGTCCTTGCAGCGCCATGGCCGAGAGCTGAAGCAGCAGGTACGTCTGACTGTTCCTCTGGGCCTGCGCCGTGGGGCCGCCCGGTCTCTGGCGGGGCGAAAGCTGGGTGTCCGAATCCTGGGAGCTGCCCTGATCCAAGAGCGGCCCTCCCAGCTGTAACGCTCCCATCCCAGCATCCCTCCCGGAACCCGGGCTCTGACCCCTCATCCTTCCATCCCGGCCCCAGGGATCGAACCTCCCGAAACGGTGACGTTCGACCGAGCGCCCTAACATTTCCGTCTCCGAACCTGACACCTCCCTTAACCCACCTCACCTCCGAATCTAACCTTTTAACGGTAACCATTTCCAGCCGCCTCTTCGCCCAACACCACTCTGCGGTCTCTATACCACTTTCCCTCCGGCCTTCCTCCAATGGAGGCTGTTAGTGTGTCTCTAAACTCAAGCGAACTGGAAAACTCAACGTGTAAGCAAAGGACTTGAACTAAAGAAATGCAAGTAACTAATATACACGAGAAAAGTTAACTTAAAAGATAATCAAGTAATTGCAAAGGAAAGATACCACGATCATTTTAAAAATCACAATCCTCAGTACTGGGGAGGCTGTGATGGAACAAACGCCCGCATACACTGCTCCGGCCTATGAGGTACAGCATGTCTGCAAAACAGTTGGACAAGATGTAGCAAATATTCATGCTCCTACGCTGGGTGATTACATTTCCAGGAATTTATCGTACATAATAAAAAAATTGGGACAGATATTAATATATAAAAGTGTTCATCACAGTATTAGGAAAGACTGGATACAACTAAAATGATCAATAATGGATACATAATTTAGGATGGGCTATATATAGTACTGAGATTAAAATTTTGTTAAGAGATTTTAATGTGTTAGGGAAGCTTTGTGATAAAATGTCTGTTTAGAAAAATAAATTTGAATATACGGCAGTTCAGTAAGATTTAAAAAAATATGTGTGTATATAAGAAGGAAACATGCTAGAATGGTAATTGGTTGCATGCTGATGATTATTGTTTCTTTCCAAACATTTTGATATTTTCATGATTTTGAATACCAAATGTATGTTACTTAAAAAAATAAAAAAGTGAGTTTATTTTCTGAAATTCCTATTTCACTTTGCTAATTTAACTTTTTCTCATTTCACTTATTACTAAGTGTTGTCTCCACTAAAAAAATTACTTTATAATCTATGGCAGACGAGATTTATTGAATGCTCATAATTTTATCCAGTTTTGGACTCTCATTTAAAAAGTACCAAAGATTTGATGGATAAATATTTCTTAAGTGACTTCATTGGAATTATAGTGGCACAGCAAAAACAAAATACTCTTATGGTAGAAATAAAAGTAAAACTTGAAGAGGCACTGACTTAAGCTGAACTTTGGCTAGGTGTTTAATATGGTTCTGTATCTAGTTATAATTTAATGGAACATTGAGAGAACCAGGAAAAGTTTGAGATGTAAACTACAAAGATTGTTATTAAAGCAAAGATGAAACAAACTATTAACAAACACGGAACAGTTTTCAACTTGGTGTCCAGGAGACAAGAGTCCTGCTGAGTCATGCCTGTGCTC